ACGATACGTCACGATACGATATCACGAATTTGACAAGATAGATTGATCTGATACTTACTATATAGTCTCTTCAAGCATTAGTTAGCGAACCCCTCTCTGTATTCTGCGTTGATTACTATCTATATATATCTAAACTAAAATATACTCCGGATTTTACAGCTTCCTCGTCTCCAAAGCCCACCCTGTGACAGGTCGCTGGAGCATGAGAAGTCCTCCCGATTTGCGCACGATTTTAGCTTCCACAACATCCCTAGGCAAACACGCAGCCCGAAGTCGGAATGAACGGGTGCACTAAATTTACAAGTGACGTATTGCCAAATTACAATTTCTTGATTTGCGAACCTCCAGAAAAGGCCGTCTCTTATCATATTCGGAAGCTATGTACGCAGGCCCCAGTTGTAGCTAGGGTAGGTTAAGTATTCTCATCCGAACATGCCAACCTCGAAGCAACAACCAAACAGTCTAAACCCCAAGCCCGTACGTACGTATCCTACTCTATCATTCTATGACAACCGGCTAGCAAGCACTATGCTATTCCGAGCCGTTCAGATACTACCTTGCCTAGCCTTGCCTGCTTTTTCCTGTCCCTCAATGCGCAGCCAGGGCTTGGCCGGGGAGAGTCTAGCCAAGTATGCAAAGGAGCGGGCGCTTGCTGCTCCGGGATATTATAACAAGTATTTTTTGTAATCGTAACCGAGGCCATAATCATCAGGTCTGGTGCCTGATTTTGTTTTCGTTGTCGTCTTCTTTCTCAGTCTCCTCCTTGCCCCGCGATTAGTTGTTTTCGGACGCGATGTTGTGGATACTAGGATTAAAAAGTTAGCCGGTGTGAGGTCTTTGGATGCTTATTTCGGCACGGTGTAGCTAACCTTATATCCTCGCGATTATCCGGCGAGCGAGGCGCATTGGAAATCGACAGCAAAGACGCCGGGTTTGCGTTCTTAGGCAGGGCGCTAACTGGGATCTCAAGCGTGAAAGAGTCGCCGCCATTTGGCTCATTTAAGGGGCCGCTGGCTTTTATGGCTCCTTTGATTACTTCCCCACCGTTGACCGTTCGCTTCTTGCCTCTTATCTCGTCAAGGTGGTCAAAGTAGCCTTCCGGAACGGCCGTCTGGTACTTGCCGCAGAATACGCCCACCTCGAATTCCTTGACGCCGTCCTTTGGCGCAGCTTCGGCACAGGCTTGCTTCAGGTCATCGAGGTCTTGGTAAATCAGGTCATCTGCACCTATTAATTGTGCGATATCTTCTCGAGTCTAATTTGATCAGAATTAGCACCTCGAGTCCAAGAATTCTCATATCGAGTCCGTTGGTACTAGTATGAGTAAGATACGAGGACCGAGACTCACCTTCTCATGTGCAATCATTTCCCGCGGCGACGCGAGGTCGATACCATACTGTATACTGTCAGACCCATGTTACCAAAGTGCAATAGAATAACATACGATGTGAGGGTATACTAGAGGCGGCGCACAAGAAGCAAAGTAGACCTTTACCGCTCCGGCTTCTCGTGCCATACTAACGATCTCTCTTGATGTCGTGCCACGGACTTCGAAGTAGTTGATTAGCTTATGTCAAGCACACCTCTGGACCGCGCTTGAAACGCCCCGAAACCTACCAATAGAGTCATCTACCAAACAAACCGTCCGTCCCTTAAACTCCGATTCGATGGCAGATAATTTCCGGCGAACGCTCTTTTGTCGAAGCTTCTGACCTGGTAAAATAAAAGTGCGGAACACGTATCTGTTCTTGACGAATGCGTTCGAGAGTGGAATTTTAAGCCGCTCAGATACGACCGCAGCCGACGTGTTCGAGGTTTCCGGCACAGGGATGATAACATCAATCCCACGGACCCGCTCTTCTCCCAGAGTTTCACGAATCTTGTCGGCTAGTTTTGCTCCCATATTTTGCCTACTCTTGTGAATGCTAATTGAATCCGACTATGATAGTTCCGAGTTAGTGAGTATAAATCCCGAGGCGGCAGAGTTGAGTGAGGCGAAGCATAACCTCGTACGTATTGACCAACGACACTAATGTCATAGCCGACAATCGCAATAAGAAGGCTTGGATCATTTAAAAGAGGGGGGAAAGACTTACAACTGAATCGGGCCGTGCAAAATATACGTATTCGAATATGTCGGGTGTGTAACTCTTCATGTCAACAACTTGTTTGAACTCAGCTTTCCCGCCCTTTTGTATGAACACGGCTTCACCAGGCAGAATATCTCTATAGTCCTTAAATCCTAGTTGACGGAGGGCAATGCTTTCGGATGCAAACATGTAGTCGGTCGCACCCTTGATGGTAGCAGAAGGCCGTGTACCAATGAGAAGAGGGCGAATGCCGTGTGCGTCTCTAAAAGCCAGAACTATGGGCGGCAGTCAGTTACAATTATCCTGGTTATGATACCAAACGGGCACGCAGAGTGTTTCTAGGAGAGAGGGGATGGGAAACGGCACTAGCTCCCCAACATATAGACAGAGGCTGTGGTGAGCGCAATGTTGAGCGGCTGGAGACTCACTGCCAAATCCGGCAATCATAGCAGTAACTGCCCAAGCGCCTTGGCACTTTTGGTACATTTGGGTGAGGGAGCGAAATATATCCTCGACATTGACTCTGGCCTTGCCAGTCTCATTGAGCGCATTGGCAAAGACATTGAGCATGAGCTCGGAGTCACTATCCGTATTGACATGGCGGTGGGCCTCTTCATCGAGGTATCTACGCAGCTCGGGGGCGTTGATCAGGTTTCCGTTGTGGGCGAGGCTATAAGCACATAGGTGTCAGCCAAATTCATATAAGAGTTGCTCGTAGCATGATGATAGGGGAGCAAGGAGGTTGATGTGGCACGCTGGGGAGGGGAAGAAAGGTTTCATGTACGTACCAAATACCGTAGGGGCTGTTGCAATAAAAGGGTTGGCTTTCGGCACTCTACAGGAATGAGAATGTTAGAGTCAGAAGCTCCATTTCATATGGCCTCGACGTCGATCCGAAATCACACGCCATGAGGTTTAGGTAAGACACAGCATGGAACATAATTAAGCCTCCGAGTCATAGGCTGCAGCATCAAGGCTGTTGGTATAACACGTAACATGACGCAAAGGTTCGGTATAAGAAGCGACGTTGTTGAGGTATTGGGCAAAGAAGAGGGTCTTACGGAGGAACTCCCGGCCGTGGGATAGCGAAGATGGCCGCAACCCCTGAAAGACACCAAAGTTAGCCAATTTAACAGATGCTAATGTCGTGCTATTGTAATTGAGGTATGTAGTGAAAGATGTGGTGAGATATGATGTGCGTGAATTACAACTTACATGTAGCCGGGAAGATCAGCCACACGCGCGCCATCTTGAAAGACCTTGGCGGCCATGCCATTGCCTATGCCCAAGTGTCAATAATTCAGATATTCAGATCCCATTGCGGGCGGCAATGCGACCGGAGTCCAAGCAAACGAACCCTTGGCTTGATACACCCTTCCACCCTTTCCACAGGTTGTAATGCCAGCTGCATCCTGTCCCCGGTGCTGCAAGAACAACAGCGACTCGAACAGAAGATGCGATGCCTCGGCCGACTCGGTGTCGGCCAGGAGAAGACCTACTACACCACACATTGTGTCCTGCCTTTGTTACAGGCAACAGGGGATTGATCGTGGTGGTATGGTAGGTAGAGGGCTGCGCGCACGCGATGTTCTTTGTCGGAACTTAGAATCAGATGTGGGTCTATTTAATCTCTCCGGTGGTCGGCTGTTGCAGGGCAGCGTGGAACTTAACTGTGGACTGGGCAATAAAGTTTTGGTAACTACCTTAGATGCACAGAGACATGCCGATTACAAAGAGTGTTCAGCGCAGCTACTCTGGCGGCCAATGCTGAGAAATAGCAGCAGAATAACTGTGTACCTGCTCCCGTTCCCGAGTCGACCCTGCGGCCGATAAGAAATTTTTTGGAGGGGCAAGACAGTATCAATCGGAGTATTGGTCGCAAATGGCGGGGCACAGCGGCACAGCGTGACAACAGGCGGCTCAGGCAGCGTGAATTTGTGTGGTTTTACAGGCGAGATGCCATCATTCTTCATGCACGTAATGCGGGGTCCCCTGCAAGGACCCCGCGCTAAACCCAGACAAGCTTAATGCATAGAGCCACAACCTACAACCAGGCCTACAACGTAGCACTCACTTAGCTTATCGACTTATCTATCACATCTTTAAGTCGCTCGCTCGCGGGAATGAGTGGGGGTGGATAGTCGATAGCAAATTAAATAGCGATCTCAAAGACAAAGAAAATGCATATGCGACCACGAGACCACAAGTAAGCGCCTATATAGGGAATTGGTCGCTTAGATCTGCTGACAAGCATAAGACCAGCCCGCCTTTCCCATTCTTTCTACATACCGTACGTATATGTATGGTCCTACTTTAAAGCTATGAGATCTTCATTCAATAATAAATTTCAATACTAGTAAACTTAGCTTAGCAGAATACATAGATAGCGATGAAATACACATACTACACTAACAGCCACAATTGGGGTTATATTTCCAAGATCAGGGCCAATGGTATAACTAGGGGCGTGTTATATGAGTTGCTCAAAGGTTACCAACAGGATATGATGGGAATATGTAGTGAGGCATATCAATGTAATGTATAAGGTCAAGATACTCCCGTCCATGCCGGCTGCCAGCACGCCCTTATGCCGCAAAGCATCTCGCATTTTTTATTCCCCCTTCCTTTTTGAACAACATTCTCTGGAGCTCCAAATATATCGTTCCCCGCTTGGTTGTTACCTACGTAGCCGAGCTAGAGTGATTCGAGCAGTTCAATAAAGACATCGAGACTTCTCCCTTTAAATAACAATTTCAAAAGATAATAATATCTTTGCCTTAATACTAACAATGCCCTGCTATGATTTACTTGGCAGAAATACCACTCACAGCGCCTCTTGTGTGGAATCTAGGTATTTTATGACTAACAAAATACCACATAATAGCTGACAGTACCAAGAAACAAAAGGTATGGTCCCAGTGAGGCTTGAACTCACGGCCTTCGCATTACTAATGTTATGATTGTAATTATAATATTAGTACGACGCTCTGACCAACTGAGCTATGGGACCGATGGATTGATGTGGGCGATATCTGGTCTTACGGCGATTGGCGGATGGTGATCGGGTGTATGATTGCAGCAACGCTTTGCATCCGGCCACAAGCAGCACTGGTTGTCAAACCTGAAGGCTCCCCTGGCTGCTGATTTCAATGCGAAGGCAATACTAGATTTCAAGATGGAGTGCGGCTCGTGAGATTTACGACACTATGATTTATTCTCAAAGATAATACTGTCGGTCGTGATAACATGCAGTCCCGAGTGCTGGTTTATATCTAATTTCCAGAAAACCCCCTTCGATATTAGTTATACATTCGTATATCTTATTAGGAAGTTGAAATGATATTATCATTTAGAGTAGTGCTCTACGGGGTCAGGGCCCTCAAGAGTCTCCAAATCCATGCGGCTTCGACAGAAAACGCACGATTTAATCATAGCTCAACGTCCTACAATCTAGCCCATCGCTTCTAATTACCTCGCATAATAAGTCGTAAGCATATATAGAAAATAAAGACTTCGTGAACTGAATGCTCTTATACTACCTCTAAGTCGATCCTAAAACGTATCCCAAGCTAGCAATAAATTTACGTGCCGGGTAGCGTCATAAGCAAAAGACGGTAGATTACATAGGACTATGAAGTCTCAGCTATCTAATCACCATGACTACGCTTTACTACTCTTGATAGTTTGAAAAGTTTAGCTCTTGCATGATCGAGATATTTGCTTCGCAAATTGTTTCCGGGCATGCTCACTAGTATCAAACCCGATTGTATATTATAGGTGTTTGAAATACGGGTTGAGAAGGTCGAACGTACCTGGCGGTCTGCACCCTTATATACCAGTACCCTGACATTCTGGAGCCCGGATGCCCTTCGTCTTCCTGCCATGTCACTTCTAGTTGCCTTCTTTAATGGTTTCTTGTGGATTCTCGTGATCTAGTATAAGTATTTTGTTATCTACAGGGGGCGCGGTAAAACTGCAGGGAAGCTAAGGGTCTTGGGAAACTGAAGATCTTGGATAGCTGAATCTTAGCTGCGTGGGTTAGGTGCGCGTAACATAACAAGACTTAAAGCGTGAAGCGTGGCCAATTTCGAAAATTCGACGGAGTTGTTTAATAATAACAAAAATTACCCCCGCTTTACGTACGTTTATATCATTAACAACGTCTAGTTATACTTAATATTCGTCAGCACGGCCGTTTATCCTTTTATTGTCCAACTGTTATTATACTTTGTGGCTGGGGAAGACCCGGTGCTTCCTACTAGCTATGTTTAAACCGGTACTGGGTTTCCTTGATTGAAGATCAATTGTCAAAACCATAGTAGCAGCGAGGCCTAAGTCGATATTAGTTGTTTAGTTGCGGGGTCTATTATCTGGATTGGGATGCTCGCTCGTATATACCGCGCTGATATCCAAAAGAAGAAAGAAAATTGTACCACCAGCGATTTTGCTGTACCACCGTCCGGTACATGTCATTCTTATAAGGAGTTTCCTATATAATAGCCATACGGCTAATCTCCATCCCCGCGCAATGCATCAATACGCAATGGCCTACGTGATTGTAGCCACAATGAAGCTTGGAAGTTAGGCTCAAGGTGAGCCCACTTTCCTATCTAGGTAAAGCGTGGATAATTAACTACTTACCCGTTTAAGCCCTAGCAAATTATGCATTAGTAGCCAACTTCCTTGTAAATGGAACCAATCACAGAAGAATACTCTGACAGCTCCCAAGCGCGAGCAGCTGCGCGAGGCTAGACTGGCCAAAGCATCTTCAGACTTCAACTTCTCCTGATCAACAATACTTAAACATCGACTGCCGTCGCCTCACGACAGTCCGCGCCGTTCCCCACCCATCGCGGGATCGAACAATATACCGACTTTCCATTGTTTTCCATTATATAGGTAATGCTGAGGACTAGATAGTGGAGTTTTACACTCCCGCACTGACCACCTCGCTTCCTCCGTCTCGTCTACCTGCTCCGGCTGCCAAATCTCAAACTTTCCATTTCAACTTCGTTTTTTCCGGGAAAGTCGAAGCTGCGTCCGACTTAATCCATCGATATATCTCCCGTAACCTAGGAATCCATCGATTCAATTTCACCTTCGAATTCTCCGCGTACCGGGATAAACTTTCGTGCGTCGTAAGCCACTAACTTTAGAAGCTCTTACGCCTTGCTTGTTCTATCTCTAATTGGAAGCGCAGACTCTTTCCCACGATATTTCGCGTTATCATTAGAAGCCACCTCGGTAACATTCAAATCGAACTTCATCGCCTCTTCGTCGCCTCCCCCATCGGTTCCTTGTACAATGGCGACTACGCGAGATGCACGCGCTCCTGCCCAGGACGCCGGCGGCAAATCGGCTTCGAATGAACAGCGACTGTTGTGGAATCCGGAAAATGTCAGAGATGTAGCTGAGTCTGTCGGTATCGCAACGATTAATGAGGAGGCATTGCGTACGCTATCACAAGATGTGGAGTATCGTATTGGGCAAGTTATCGCAGAGGCTGTCCGATTTATGCGACTCGGAAAACGTACGTCGATGACTGTTAAGGACATCTCTTTAGCGTTGCGAGTACTAGACGTCGAACCTCTGTATGGATACGATGCGACGAAGCCGCTGCGATACGGAGAGGCGACCATGGGCCAACCTTTCTTTTATATCGATGATGAGGAAGCCGACTTTGAGCGCGTCATCAATGGCCCTTTGCCTAAAGTTTCTCGAGATGCGAATTATACAGGTATGTATTGATGGCAGAGCCCTCATGCCAGCTGGATAGCTGCTAATATTTTTATCTACTCTAGTTCATTGGCTAGCTATAGAAGGTGTTCAGCCGGTTGTGCCCCAAAACCCGACATCCACGGAGGCGCGAACGCAAGACCTGCTACCCAAAGGTCCTGGTGCCAATCCCGCCCTTGCGGCTCTATCTGGGCACGACAGCCCTAATTTCAAACCGGCTGTCAAGCACGCTGTTTCCCAAGAACAAATCCTTTTCTTTGAGAAGGTACAAGCAGCCCTACTGGATGACAATCCCGATCCGGAGGTTCATCGGCTGCGCCAAGCGGCTTTAGCGGCTGTTGTTGCCGAACCGGGCACCCACCAGCTCATGCCCTATTATGTCAATTTCATATCCAATCAAGTAACGCACTACCTTGATGATCTCTTTGTTCTGCGACAGATGATGGAGCTCGCCAATGCCTTGATCTCGAACGAGCACATATTTGTTGATCCATACGCCAATTCTCTATGTGCCCCAGTTCTGACATGTCTATTGGGGCGACGCCTGGGGTCTGAGAATGGGAGTGATGCAGTTAAAGAGCAATACCAACTTCGTGAGGTTGCTGCCTCCCTGATCGGGCAAATCGCAAACAAATACTGTAGCTCAAACAAACTGCTGAGGCCCAAGCTGACTCGGTCCTGTCTCAAGGCATTCCTGAATCCTAGCATGCCTCCTCAAGTTTGGTATGGGGCAATTCTCGGTATCCTAGCTGCCGGTGGGCCCGAGGCTATCAAAGTACTCGTACTGTCCAATCTCAAATCATTCGACTCGACTATGCTACAGCCCTTGCGAGAAAAGGGAGAGGCTAGTCGCCTCGACTTTGAGATGGTGGTCGGTGGCATCTTGAAAGCGATCCAGTCGCTTTCAGAGGAGGATATAATGATGAACGGTGTCAACGGAGAAAACAGCGACCGTGAAGCAAGCCAAGTCAAGGATTTCCTTGGCGACATAATCGGGGAGCGAGTTGTCCGACTTGCCAACCATCAGGTCAACCAGGCTGTGCTCGACGCTATGAACTTCCAATAAGTTCTGCTGTTCATATTAGTACAGCGTGTTTCTCCGACGAATTAAGATAAACGTGCAATTTTTCATTTCCAAAAGAACTGGACAGAGAAAGAGCCAGGCAGGGGAAGGTGTCTGTGTATTTGGTCTTGGGGAACGGGCGGCGTTCGGTCAATACCCCTTACGGTCATATGAATTGTTTTTGATTTGCATTTGGAAGGAGTTGATGGAAAGACACCTTGCGTCCTCAGAGAGGTAGCTCATGCAGATAGTATATGAATGCTTCTGGGTAGAAGCAAAGAGCTAGAAATAGCAATGAATTGGAACATAAATTTGAGACAGAAGAAATATACAAGTGTTGTGTTCATGCATCAGACATCTGCTCAGCTCCCATCTCCCGTGAACTATATCCAACAGGTAGCTATTCCTAGCTCTTGGGCCATTACGGACACACGACTACCCGGTCGTCACTTGTCCCCTCAAGCTATAGCGTCCGGTAGTATCGTGGTTATCCCTTTTGTTATATACATTGCGAACTGCCCCTCTTCCCGCTTCTTAATCCTCCCCCAACTCCCTCACTCGTTCACGCACTTACAAGAAGCAAGTGATGCCCAGCGCACTAACAAGACTAGCGCCCCAAATACCCCAGTTACCAGCGTGGATGACGGGCTTCCTGAAGCCCTTGGCCAAGTCCCAGACGAGGTGGCGCGTGCCGTTGAACAGGTGGAACATGAAGGGCCAGGTAACGAGGAACTTGACGCCGGCCTTCAACCCGACCGGGAGGCTTGCTGCCGCCGCGGCGAGCGAAGCGGACTCGAGGTGCCAGCCGGTGAGAGGGGCGGCGAGGTACGAGATCGAGAAGAGGTACAGCGCGGTCGTGAACCCGCCGCCCGTGATGCGCGTCCATACGGAAGCGGAGAACCAGGTCTGCTTGTAGTCGTAGGCGGAGAGGTGGGGTGAGACGGGGCGGTGCAGGCGCTGGTTCGCGAGGAGGGACTGCGCTTCGGTGGGGGTTATGGGCGTTGTTGACGCTGGGCTGGAAGGAGGTTAGTTGGCGTTTGGAGAAGGGGGGAGAGGGGAGAAGAGGATGAGGGCTTACCGGGCTTGTAGGCTTGCTAGCATTACCCGGGGGATGTTTTGGGAAAAGACATTGGGTTGCGCAACTGGGGTTTTGACGTATTAGTATGGATTCTTCTTAATTTTGAGCGGCATTGTGTTTTTTGTATGAAACG